GCCAGTCACACCAGCCAGGTGAGCTGGGGTGGCGGGGAACAGGCAGGCCCATAGGGAAATGTGTGTAAAGGGCCACATGGGTGACCAGGGGCACAGCAGATGCTGGCCCCTGAGGGTGTAACCCTGAGGATGTTCCTCTGCTTCTCTGAGGCCGTGGTCCATGTGCACGTTACTGATCTTAGCTCAGATTTTTCAAGCACGGTGACTCGGATCAGCCTTTTGCCCCGACTCCCCCAATACTCACCCTTTAAGGCATGTCCTCTTTTTTTCTATATTGTACTGAGGAGAAATCTAAGCCCCAAAGGGTCCAGAAGTCCTATAGCTTTTGTGTTGGAGAGGGACTTAGAACCGGTAGGGGGTGGGGGAGGTCTGACCCTAGAACTCGGCTCTTAATTATATATGTAACACTCCTGTCTTGTGATAGTGGTTCATTCATAGGCAGGAACCTATGAAGGAATCAGTATCATTTCATTTTAAACATGAGTGTTTTAGTTCAGAGTTTTGAGCATAGGATGGAGGTGGTACTGTTGTTACTGTCCAGCCTACAACCTCCTTGGCCCATATTTAATAAACTGTTCTTCCAAAAATGAATTTGAACGTGGATTAAGTGCAAAGACTCTCATCATGTGCCCTGTGTGCCAACGTTCCATCAATACTCGGCAATCACAGTCACGCTCGTCATCCAATCCTCTCACCCGCTTTCCTTTTAGTTTGAAGTTTTTGCTGGTGCTGGGGATGTAACCCAAGGTCTAGTGCAGGCTAGTAAGCTCTTCACAAAGCTATATTAGTCTTTATTTTATTATTATTACTTAAGGCACAGTCTCTTCCTGTAGCCCAGACTGACCTCAAACTCAGCATCTCCTATCTCAGGCCCTCAAGTGCAGAGCTGATACATTGTGTCACCAGGGCCAGTCCCTCTCCTACTCTGTCATTAAGCAAACACAAGCATGTAATTGTTTCAGAAACTATTTGTCTTTCCTTCTTTCCTTTCTTTTTTTTTTTTCTTCCATTGGGGCTGAGAGTAGAACCTAGAGCTTCCTCATGCTTATTGCAGTAGTAGAGCAAGTGAGGGGCTGGGGGTGTGACTCAGTGGTAGAGCCCCTGCCTAGAATCCCCCAGTGAGGGGCTGGGGGGCGTGGCTCAGTGGTAGAGCCCCTGCCTAGAATCACCCAGTAGAGGGCATAAAAGCTGGAGACCTTTAGAAACCATTTCCCCTCTAAAACAACAATTCTCAACCGATGGGTCATGACCTTTTGGAGTCATATATCAGAGATTCTACGTGTCGGATATTTACTTACTATTTATTTACAATGGTAGCAAAATTTACAGCTACGAAGTAGCAATGAGATAATTTTATGGTTGGGGGGTCACCACAACATGAGGAACCGTATTAAAGGGTCACAGCGTGAGGAAGGTTGAGAGCCACTGCTTTAAAATACGGAGCCCAGTGTTGTATTGTATGTGGGCTTGTCTGTAAGCTCCAGTACTTACAATACAGTATGGTCCATGCGAGACAGAGGATATTTTAGTGTGTACAGTAGGACACCGGGTGACCACGACAACTCTTAGGCCGGAAGTTCCTTTGAGGGACTGCGAAGAGCATGTTTTGTTCTCAGAGACACTTGACTCGGAAAGTTGTCGTATTGAATGTGCAGGTCTCTGGCACACGTGTTACAAATGGCTTCCTTTAGCCATGTTCTTATATAGTACACAACACATACATCTGTGGAAGGCACTCCTGGTGGCTGCCAGGTTTCTTGGGGCGGGGGTCGCGGGTGGAAGACTGGCCTGACCTCTACTGTTCTCCTCCTCCTAGGAGATCAAGAGCAACAAGACCATTCTGCACTTGGCCGTACAGGCTGCTAACCCCACCCTGGTTCAGTTGCTGCTGGGGCTGCCGAGGGGGGACCTGCGAGCCTTTGTCAATATGAAGGTAGGACACAGGTGGTTTGAGATAGACTCGCAAGGTGGCCATTGGCGTCCTGTGAGCTGTGGATGGCAAGGGGACCATGCCCAGGGCGAGGGAGGAATGTGTGTTCCGAAGCAGGGTGGGTGGAGTGTGGCTGTGCAGGGTAACACATGAGCTACGGATGTGACAGCATCTGGAAGTGTGGCTTAGAAGACCCTGGCACTGGGCTGGAGAGATGGCTCAGCGGTTAAGATCACTCACTGCTCTTCCAGAAGTCATGAGTTCAATTCCCGGCACCCACATGGTGGCTCACAACCATCCGTTATGAGATCTGGTGCCCTCTTCTGGCCTGCAGGCAGAAGACTGTATACATAATAAATAAATACAATCTTTGAAGAAAAAATAAAAGGCCCTGGCACTTGGGGTCTGGGTCCCCATCAGTCCTCCCTTTGTGGTTACAGGCCCATGGGAACACAGCCCTGCACATGGCAGCTGCCCTGCCCCCTGGGCCACCCCAGGAGGCCATTGTGAGGCATCTGCTGGCAGCTGGAGCAGACCCAACGCTTCGCAACCTAGAGAACGAGCAGCCCGTTCACTTGCTGCGACCTGGGCCGGGCCCTGAGGGGGTAAGCACTGTTCTAACCTGGGGGGGACCCCAACTGCACCCAGCACTGATTTAGAGGATGCCATCTAGTCTCAGAAGGTGACCTTGGTCCCTCTCCACTCTCTTCACTTCAAAGAGTGACCTAGGCTGAGTGCTACCCTCCTATAACCCAACTCTTGAGGACTAAGGCAGAAAGAGTGAGAATTTGAGCTAGCCTGGGCTACATAGTGAGATCCTATCTCAAAAGGAAAAAAAAAAAAAAAAAGAACCCAAACAGTGACCTCTGACCTTAATGTTTAACCCTTCCCCCAATGTGATGGCTCCTTCTGACTTCGTTGCTTTCCACTCTCAACCCTGAGACTGTGGCCTTCAGTTCCCTGGTGAGACCTGAATTACTGTCCCTGACCCTGGGTCCTGACCTTTCCATGTGATATATGACCCTTGCCTCTGCCTTTTGACTCCCAAACAATGCTGACCCCAAGATGGGAACCCCATCTAGCAAAACTTTTCTGGCTTCTGGCTGCCTACCAGAGTGTGAACGAAGGTCCTTCTCAAACCTCACATGGGTTTCAGTGTATAACCCAGGGCCACCCCTGACTCTCAGTTCTCCTGCCTCAGCCACCCCAAGGACAACCACAGGTGACCTCAATCCATCTTGACTTTACACCTGTGACCTTCAACCCAGCTGACCCTACTCAGTTTCCTCCTTGTCAGTAGCCCCGCCCAAGGCACCCCTCCCCAGCCTGTGAAAGGCCCCTCCCTCCTCTGCCTCCTACTGGAGCTCCCCAGCCTCCAACTCTCCCCCTTATCTGTCCCTAGCTCCGGCAGCTGTTGAAGAGGAGCCGTGCGGCACCCCCAGGCTTGTCCTCTTAGGACTGAAATCCAGAACCTGGACTGATTTTCCAGTCCCCACCGTCCCGTGAGACAGCCAGCGTATGCTCATGTCGCAGATTCATGATAATATAATGTGGAATATCCTGCCATTAGGGTCTTACATTAAAACCCCAAAGTGGCACTGGGGGAGGTGAGCAGTCCCCAATATTTGGGGTCTTGTGATTCCTCTTCCCCCTACAAGGGGCTGTTTAGATGATTTCTGTGAAATCGAGCCCACTTGACTGTTTCTGTGAAACGCCCTAGAAACCGCTCTCTCCTACTTGGATCAGCCATGATCACCTCCCCAGACTCTGTCTTACACTCCCAGAAACTCCAATGGAGCCTCCGTGGGATTTGAGGCATCCCAGGACAATCCCACCAGGGCTCTTCCCCAGGACCCACACCCCTGAGATGTCAGAAAGGCCCTCTGAGATTAGCGTGCCCTGAGACCTGGCTGCATTGTCATTTTGAACTCGGTGTCCCAGACCCTAGCCTTCCCTGTGAGTTGTTGTTCTCTGTCTATGTATCACTGTAGCTCCCCATTAAACTCGATTTGGCCTCAAGCTGTGTGTTGTCATTCAAAGTGGGGGGCACTGGTGCCCCTCTGAGGGGCCACATTTGGATAATGTAAAGGCTGGGGAGTCCAGAGTCAAGACACCATCAGAGCTAATGCCTGATAAAGATATCAAATTCTGTTTTTTAGATGGCTATCCCTTCCTGCTACTGACATTTGCCAGCATCTAGTACCCAAGCCCCTGTGTAAAATGTGAGAAGACCGGCTGGGTGTGGTGGTGGCACACACCTTTAATCTCAGCACATGGGAGACAGAATCTGTCTCTGTGAGTTCAAGGCCAGCCCTGTCTATATAGTGAGTTCTAGGACAGCCAGAGCTGCATACTGAGATCCTGTCTCAAACAAAACAACAAAAGATGTGAGAAGATTTCAAAGCTAGGTAGCTTGTCAGGCTGGGGGTGTGGCTCAGTAGAGCCCCTGCCTAGAATCCCCCAGTGAGGGGCTGGGGGCGTGGCTCAGTGGTAGAGCCCCTGCCTAGAATCCCCCCAGTGAGGGGGCTGGGGGGGCGTGGCTCAGTGGTAGAGCATCTGCCTAGAATCCCCCAGTGAGG